ATGAGAAAACATGATTGTTAGTAAAGTATGTGTCTTAAGTCTTTCTATATATTATGGTGATACAATTGTAGAGTATGTGTCTTAAGTCTTTCTATCGATTATGGTGATACAATAAAAAGCTCTCCCTCTCTCTCCATCTCTAATATGCACGTTTAATTTAAATTATCATCAGAATTGATAATGTTTGTTTCTTAAGTCTTTGCCTTTATCATTTAGAAAGAAAAAAATAATTATAGAGAATTTTCTCTTTCACATGATGCAACGAATTCAAAAGACTTAAGACACAAACATTCAGCATAACTAATATCCAACTATAGTTCACAAAGAGAATGCCAGAGAGACTGGTAACCTCTACTTACAGGTTATTATTTTTAAAGTATGTGTCTTAAGTCTATCTATTTATTATGAGAGCTTTTAAAAATGTCTCTTTTCCCTCTCTCTTTAAAATTCACCTTCATTCTCACCTTTCTCCCCAATACCAATATCAAAGTTTGTTTCTTAAGTCTTTGTATATTATCTTTAAAACAGAGCAGAGATGTGAGAACATTTTCTCTCCCCAATGATGGAATCTATTCAAAAGACTTAAGACAAAAACTTTCATTATAAAAGAATATAAGAGTTAGAGAGCGGGGAGAGAGATCCATAAGACATATAATTATAGTGCTTAATAAGAGAACTGGCAATAATTATGCCCATCTATATATCAAAAGACTTAAGACACAAACTTATTTTGATGGTATTGATTCGAAAGACTTAAGACACAAACTTCCACAATAATCAATATATTGAACTAGAGAAATAGAGACAGACTTAAGCAAGTAACAGCTATGTTTTGTAAGAAAAAAAATGATTCCGAAAGTTACATGGTAGTACTGGAACTGACTCCGAAAAACCACTACTGTACAAAACAACAATTTCAAATTAAAAAAAAAAAAAACTCGAAAGACCTACAAATAGATATCGAATTTATTTATTTAGACAAAAAATGACTCCGAAAGCCATAAACTCGTCATCAAACGACTCCGAAAAACTCCAAAAGCTATTTTATGAACACGAAATTACTCTGAAAATAAAATGGAGCTCTGAAAATGACTCCGAAAACTATTTTATGCAGACGAAATTACTCCGAAAATAATATGGAGCTCTGAAAATGACTCCGAAAACTATTTTATGCAGACGAAATTACTCCGACAAAATATGGAGCTCTGAAATTCCCCTAAAAACTATTTTATGCAGAGAAAAATAATCCGAAAGTCATGTAAAGTATAAAAAATTACTCCGAAAATTATATAGAACACTAAAAATGACTCGAACTATGCACAATATACAAAATATTATTCAGAATCGTGTGTACTATACAAAAAATGGCTCCGAAAGCCAGGCTCAGAAAAAAAATATGACTCCGAATAACATAAAATGTAGCGTTTGTTACTCCGAATGTTAAATTGTATACACAAAATTATTCCGAATTTATACACAAAATTATTCCGAATTTTGTGTACTATATATAATAAGACTCCGAAATCAATTATTGCTCCGAAGACAACCCAAAAAATAGATATTATACATAAAATGATTCCGAATTGTATTTACTTTACATCTTGTGACTCCGAATATTAAATATTACACTTCGTACTACGGAAAATGACTACGAAAGCATACAGAAAAAAAACATACAGAAAAAATATGACTCCTAATAACATTTACTGCGCCGTATGATACTCCGAAAGTTAGATATTTTATATAAAATTACACCGAATTTTGTGTACTATATATAAAAAGTCTCCGAAAGTGACATATTGTTCCGAAAACGACCCAAAATCTTAGATATTAGTTGTGTATTGTACATCAAAGGACTCGGAAAGCCAAACATTGTACAGAAAATTACTCCGAAAGTGATGTACTGTATGTAATACGACTCGGAATGAAATAAATTAACTCCGAATGTTGAATAATGTATAGTACATGACTCCAAATTTTGTATAATATATATTGCATGACTCCGAACGTTGGGTATTGTACAGCAAATGACTCCGAATACCATACATTATAAATTAAGTGACTCCGAATTGTTTATAGTGTACAGTAAACGACTCCGAATGTTATGTACTGTACAGTATATGCCTCCAAATGGAATTTTATGAAGGAAACTTGATTCTGAATGTCGCGAACTGTAAAGGAATCTTCTCCGAAAAATCGGTACCGACTCCAAATGATATTATCTCTATAGAAAATAACAGCCGAACATCCTCTTTTTGTTCGCTCAAATAATTTTCTCTATGAAAGAGAGACCTCCGTAAGTTCCAGTTACTATCACTTAAAAAGACTCCGAATGTTATGTACTGTAAAAAATAAGAATCCGAATGGATTTTTTTTAAGAAAATAGACTCCGAATGTTGTGTACTGTAAATAAATCTACTCCGAAAATCGTATACTGTACAGATAACGACTCCGAAAGTAATGTACTGTATGTTTTTTGAAAAGAAAAGTGACTCCGAATGTTGCGTACTGTAAAGAAATTTACTCCGAAAATGGTATATTGTACAGATAACGACTCCGAAAGTAATGTAATGCATAGGAATCGACTCCGAAAGTTATATACTGGAAAAAATATGATTCCTAATGATACGTATTGCATAGAAATCTACTCCGAAAATGATATACTGTACAGAAAATAACTCCGAATGCTAAGTACTGTACATAAGACAACTCCGAATGATATTATTAGAATCCGAATGGATTTTTTGAAAAGAAAAGTGACTCCGAATGTTGCGTACTGTAAAGAAATTTACTCCGAAAATGGTATATTGTACAGATAACGACTCCGAAAGTAATGTACTGCATAGGAATCGACTCCGAAAGTTATATACTGGAAAAAATATGATTCCTAATGATACGTATTGCATAGAAATCTACTCCGAAAAACCTTTTCTATTATTCGATAAACCTTTTCTATTATTTTTCTATTAAAAGAGTTACTTCCACCTAACTTCCAACTTCTTATCACTACCTCCACCACGTTTATCGGCAATTTTCAAAATTAAATTTGTCGTCAATTTTATGTGTTATTTTAATTTACCGAAAAAAACTCAAAATTATGCCTATCTTTGTCACGTTTATCTGCCATTGCTTACACACAATTTCCATGTTTTACTTATCTCTAAAACATTTATTTTTTTGTAAAAACATTTTATTTCAATAAACTAATCTCTGCTGTTTTTTGCTCTTATTTTTAATTACAGATAATTAAAGACAATGGACAAAACAAAAACAAACAAAAAAACGTAATGCCATAAATGGAGCCTCAACCATGGCTGAGCTGACAACTTAAACTTGAACTCAAGCGAAAAACCGGGAAATGTTTTTAGCAGCGACAACTGGCAACTTTATCTGACTGAAAGGCAAATGTTTTGAAAAAGAAGGCAATCAGTAGCCAGCCAGCCATTTATGAGAAACGTGACACATTCCAATATTAAGTGACAAAAGGCGTTGTTATGATGTTGCGTGTAAATGGTGCAAGACCAAGACAAAGAGGAGAAGAAGAAGAGGAAAAAATTATGAACGCCTGTGGAAGTGAAAGAAAACTCAGGCAGCTCCAATTATTTCTATGATTATGAAAAGTCCGGGCAAGAGGTGGAAACGGCCTGCCTTTTTTCATAATTCATTCATTGATTAAACAAAAAAGAAAAAAGTCAGGCATGCAACAACATGCTAAGCCTGGCTGGTGGTAAATGTTGGGGTATAAAAAAAATAATCGCTGAATGTATGCAGTGTCAACCAAGCATCTAACAGACATAAAGAGTGTGCCACTTGTAGGGCCAACAGACAAACAAAAAAACCCCCTGGGGACTCTGTGTTGCGTGAAATTAAACTCCAGCATTAAAAAGAAGAAAGTCAGACACTGAGACCAGAAAAGAAAGAAGAAGAAATGCGAATGAGCGACTGAAAGATGATAGCCTAGGTCAAAATGAAAAAAAAACAACAAAAACAATAAAACTATTACAAAATAAACCAAACAAACAGGTTACAATATAACTCCTCAACTCTCTACCGCCCTCTCTCTCCTTCCCTCTTTCTCAATCTTTCTCTCCCCGCAAACCTTTCTCTTGGAGAAAGAAGTTGTCGATTCTGCAGCATTTAAACTTTCAACGAAGAGCAGCTAACCTTTGATAACATTGGCCATTAACGCCAGCCAGCCAGCCAGTCAGGCCGGCAGTCATTCAGTCTCAATGTTAAATGCAACACAAATCCATGAATGAAAATTATAACAACATCGACAACAATAAAAACAGCAACAACAACCAATACAGGAAGCTTTTTCCAATGGAGCAGCAGCATCGACAGCAGCCCAACAATGACAAACAAGTTGTAATGAGACTGGTTCGGGGAGTTGTGATGAGAGTTGGTCGTTCGTTCGTACATTCGGATGGTTGGTTGGGCTGTTTGTGGCGCGCACATGTTGTAGTCTCAAAATGAAAACGAAAGACTGAAGACACAAACTTTAACGAGAAGAAAAAATCGTGGATTTTCGTTCGTGTTGGTTTATTTGGCGATTTTTTGTGTATTTTTTTTTGTATTTTTTTTTTTTTTTTTTTTTTTTTTTTTTGAAAGAAAGTGAAATTATCACGACGTTTAGCTTCTTCCTAGTTGAACTTTTTTTACCTTTGAGAAGAAGAAGAAGCTGAAAAAGTCATTGAAAGTCATTGAAATTTTATTTCGTCTCTTGGTGTTAATTTTTGATATTAATGTGTGTGTGTGTTTTTTTATGATTTTTATAGGAAATGAAAATAATTTGAAAAAAATTGAAAATAAATAAAAAAAACAAAAAAATATTTTAAAAATTAAATATTTTTTGAAAAAGAAAAAAAAAACAAAAAAAAAATAATACGAAGTGTTTCAAAATAAATTAAATAATAAACCTTAAAAATATCCCCAAATTTAAATTAAATCAACCTCCACAACATCTGTATTAGCCGTTTAAGCCGATTAACGTAACGTAACATCAAATCGAGACATCATGGAGTCCGAGGAAATAACAAAAATGGTCGATGGTGTTTATAAGGTAAGTGGAGTTTTGCAGCGTTATTTTAAGATTATCTATTATATCTATAGATTTTTTGGCTTCGGTGACTTATAGTGAAATTTTATGGAGAATATATTTTCCTTTAAAAGCAAGCCTCTAAAATGAAGGATTATGCGACATTTTCGACATAACCTAAAAAAAAGTGAGAAATACCTTGAAAATTGCTCTTTTTATTTATATCCAATTTTTTCTAATGTTATTTTGAGGTGATATTACAGACTTCTTGTCGACGATCACCCACAGTGAAATTTTATGGAGAATATTTTTTCCCTTCACATCATCCCCGTACAATGCCTCATTACGGGACAATTTAATGAAATTGGAAGAAATATAGAATTATTTAAACAAAAATAAATTTCGTGAATTCTGACCGAGATTTCTTTGGTAAATATTATATCTAAAGATTTGTTGTTGGTGGTGACTCATAGTGAAATTTGATGGAGAATATGTTTTCCTTAGGTACCAAGCTTCTAAAATGAAGCATTGTGGGAAATTTTCGACATAACCTAAAAAATTGAAAAATACCTCGAAACCCCCTTTTTATTTATATCCAATTTCTCTAATGGTATTTTGAGGTTATATGTCACATGTTCAGATTTCTTGTCAATGGCGACCCATAGTGAAATTTGATGGAGAATATTTTTTCTCTTGACATTATCCCCCTACAATTCCTCATTGCTGGGCAATTTAATGAAAATCGAAGGAACACTTAGAAAATTGAACAAAAATACATTTAGCGAATTGTAGCTTCGATTTCTTTGCTAAATATTATATCTACCAATTTTATTGTTGTTGGTGACCCATAGTGAAATTTTATGGAGAATATTTTTCTCTTTAATACCAAGCCTCTAAAATAAAGGATTGTGGAAAAGTGAGAAATATCTCGAAAATTTCCTTTTTATATTTATGCCCAATTTTGCTAATGATCTTTTGAGGTTATATATCAAATCTACAGATTTCTAGTCGACGGTGACCCATAGTCAAATTTGATGGATAATAGTTTTTCCATTTACATAACTTCTATAAAATGCCTCATTGTGGGTCAAAATCATGAACTTCGAATGAAAACTTCAGAAAATTAGTCTATAATGTAACCAATATTTAGCTATTATAAAGTATATATACCAATTTTTGTTGTTCGGTGTCCGATAGTGAAATTTTATGGAGAATGTTTTTTCCTTTGATACCGAGCCTCTAAAATATTGAATTGTTAGGAATTTCCATCATAACCTAAAAATAGCGAAAACATACTCCAAAAAGTGCTCATTATATTTATTCCCATTTTTGTATTGATAATTTAAGGTTATATATTAAATCCAGAGGTTTCTTGTCCTCAGTGATCTATAGTGAAATTTCATGCAGAACATTTTTCCCAATGATACCAACACTCTAAAATGGCTCATTGTGGGTCAATGTGCTAAAATGTGCAAAATAGAACAAGAGAAATTAACCAAAAATTAATATATTTTATATATACCAAATTGTAACCGATATTTATCTGTAATAGAGTATATATACAGATTTCTTGTCGTCGGTGACCCATAGTAAAATTTGATGTAGAACATTTTTCCCTTTGATTCTAAGCGTCTAAAATGAAGGATTATGGGACATTTTCCACATAACCTAAAAACAGTGAAAAAATTTGTCTTTATATTTATAAAAAATTTTTCTAGTGATATTTTGAGGCTATGTATCACATTTACAGATTCCTTGTTGTCGGTGTCCTATAGTGAATTTTTCTGGACAATATTTTTCCCTTTAGCATCATGAAGGATTGTGGGAAATTTTGCTCCTAACCTAAAAAAATAACAAAAATAACCTCAAAATTATTAGTCATATTTATATCCATTATTTGTATTCATATTTTATTGTTATCTATTTCATCTACATATTTTGTGTCATCGGCGACCTATAGTGAAATTTTATGCAGATTATTTTTCCCTTTAATACCACCCCTCTAAAATGAAGGATTGAGGAAAATTTCTCCATAACCTAAAAATATAACAAAAATAACTTTAAAATTACTATTTATTTTTAGATCCATTATTTGTATTGATATTTTATTGTTATCGATTACATCTATCGATTTCTTGTTGTCGGTGATCTATAGTGAAATTTTCTGGAGAATATTTATCACCTTGATACGAGGGTTGGTATCAAGGGGATAAATATTCTATAGAAAAATGAAGGATTGTGGAAATTTTTGCTCCTAACCTAAAAATATAACAAAAGTTACTTCTAACATTTTCTTCACATTTATATCAATTATTTGTATTGATATTTTTTGGTATCCATTACATCTATCGATTTCTTGTTGTCGGTGACCTATAGTGAAATTTTCTGGAGAATATTTCCACCATTGACATCACCCCTCTAAAATGAAGTATTGTGGAACATTTTGCTCTTAACCTAAGAATATAACAAAAACGCCTCAAAACGATTCTTCATATTTATATCCATTATTTTGATTGATTTTTTTATTGTTATCTATTACATCTATCGAATTCTTGCTGTCGGTGACCTGTAGTGAAATTTTCTGGAGAATACTTTCCCCCTCGATACCACCCCTCCAAAATGAAGGATTGTGGGTCATTTTGCTCCTAAACTAAAAATATAACAAAAATTGCCTCAAAAATGTTCTTCATATTTTTATACATTATTGTATTGATATTTTATTGTTATCTATTACATCTACAGATTTCTTATCCAATGTGACCTATAGTGAAATTTTCTGGAGAATATATTACCCTTTGACATCACCCCTCTAAAATGAGAGATTGTGGAAAATATTCTCCATAACCTAAAAATAACCTCAAAATTACTATATATTTTTATATCCATTATTTGTATTGACATTTTATTGTTATCGATTACATCTATCGATTTCTTGTTGTCGGTGACCTATAGTGAAATTTTCTGGAGAATATATTTTCTTTTTATACCAACCCCCTAAAATGAAGGATTATGGTACATTTTGCCTCATGACCTCAAACTATTACTTAAAAAACCTTAATTTTTAGTATTATTATTATTTTTAGATAAATATTATCTATAGATAATTTAATAAAATAAAAGTCAAAAAATTAATAAAAATTTGTTAATTTTTTTCACAACTATCTGCCCTATATTTTATGCTTGGCAATGTTCCATTAAAGCGTTGGCCATAACAAATTTGCCGAACATCAGAGATTGTCGGCTTTCAAACAAAACATTCACCATGTAGTAAAACCTTTTTTTTTTGCTTCCCTCTGCTTTGACATGAAAGATGACCTTAAAATAAAAAAAAATAGAAAAGCACAGTTTGATAATCAATTTTTTGGAATGAAAATAAAAGGAAATCATAGTTTTAACCTAAATCGAAAACAATTGGCATCACAAGCAGAAAAAATATTATTGGATTTTGTTTTGAATTCCGAAAAAAAGTCTTACAAAAGATGACAAGTTGGCAGGGCCGGTAGTTGGTTGCGCATGTCTATGGAAAATGTGAACAAAGACCTCCCTTGAAGAAGAAGAAAAAAATAATAAATCAAGTCATGTTTGGAAGTGTGGTGTTGGGGGATGGAGGTGGAAATGGAGGTGATGGTGGTGTATTTGTGGGGCCAAAAGTTGAAGATGATGACAACGTTTTTTTTTCTATGACGCTTCAAAAAATGTGCATTCAAAACCCAAAAAAACTCGAACAGCAAAGATGGTAACTGATTTAAAGAAAATACAATGAAAACTGCCAGATAATGTAATATAAGAAAAAAAACAACAACACAAGATAGCAACAACAACAACGACAACAATTGCATTCAAACGGCAAATGACTTGAACTGACTGCACCACAAAGTAAAAAAATGTTGTGCAAAATAAAAAAATCCACAGCAACAACAAAAAATCATTATTGTTTGTTATTATAACAGAGTTGCTGGTGGAGTTGTTGTTGTTGCCTCCAGCAGCAGCAACAGCTTCTTCTTCATTGTCTTCTTCTTATTTTTCTTGCTGCATTGTGCATCAACATCTTCAGCGTAATCATTAACTTGTTGATTACATAAGACATTACTTACACGCTCACTACGAGCACACACACACACATGACACGGCGGGGGCATCTCCACACACACACTCACACACACACATGCTGTTTTAGAAAATTGCGAATTTCATGGATTTAGGCATTCACATCTTGAGGCTCTTTGGTTGATTTTGGGAAGTTTTCAAAATTTTCAGATTTTTTTTTTTTTTGGGTTTTGGCTCTTCAACAACATTTGTTTGGTGTTGTTGTAGATTTTTTGGGACATGAAAAAAATCGAAATTCCAGTTTCGTCATATGAAACGGTTGCCTAATATCTTCTCCGTATTTTTGTATCGGTTCGATTTAATGGAAAATCGCGCATGGCATCTTTGGTTTTTTTATTTTCATGTTTTCATCTCCAAAATTGGCAACTTCACACGCGTTCATTCACATCCAGTCAAACAAATCCGCAAGGCATGTAACCAGTTTGGGATGCCATTAAAATCGACGGCTTTGTTGATAATATGACCAAATTATAGATATTTTCACTCGTTATTTTTTTCATATATATAGGCAGACAGGAACTGAATGTTTGGCTCCACCTAACGAGCAAGTTTGGCGAGGAAAGTAATTCATATGTAATTGGCGGAATTATCAATACAATGAGATGAGGTAATTTCACTTTTAATAATAATAGCATAGTTCGGCATAAGCTCCTTATGGGGTATTAATTAAAATTTTATTTGTCATTATTTCAAGACAATGCCAATTGGATTCGGCATAGAGGATTGTAATACCATGGTATGGAGGAATTTCAGCGGTAAACTATTATATCTACAGATTTCATGCCAACAGCGACCTCATGTGGAGTTTTATGGAGAATATTTTTTCCCTTTACAAGAGCCCCCTAAATGACTCCTGGCGGAATAGGGTGATGAAAATCGAAAGAACACTTAGGAAATTATGAAAAATCTATATATTT